TGGACTCCCCACCGGAAGCAGCGTCTCCCCACAATTCCCTCTCCGCGCACAGGTGGAGACGCAGCTGCGGCTGCCCGACACCGCCCTCCAGGCTGGCGGGGTGGCTGTGGACAGACAGGGTGCTGGGCACACCGTGTAGACCTCTCTGAGGCAAGGCGGAGGGACAGAGTGTCCACAGCGCGGAGACCAGGAGGAGCTCTGACGCGAGCAGCGGGGAGGGGCCGGCGCCATTGCTCTCCCCACCGATTCCGCCCAGGCCTCGCCCCCGCCTGTCCCGCCCCGTGTCAGAGCACCCGTTCCTATAACCTCACCATTGTCGCTGGAGGGTCTTCCCGGGTGCTTCCCACAGCCTGCAGCCAGTAGAAACCCTAAAGCAGGAAGGCCTGCCCAGGGGCGGCTCTCACCACTGATCTCAAGATCCGGGCTTTGGAACAAGGAAACACAGCCCACCCTCCTGGGCCACCTGATTGGACAGTTAAGACAGCCACTGATTGGCTCCTGTTCCACTGCCCGCCCCTCAGAGCTGACAGTGACAACAGAAACCAATCCTTGCCAGAGTGAGTGCGACTCAAATGGGGCGGTGTAATCGTGACACTTCTTGACCAGTCTCAGGATGCTGACCTATCCTAGCCTGAATTTAAGAAAGCGTGTACCCCTTGCAGTGCAGAGCTGCTTCTGTCTTTTTATTGTTTTTTAAAGATAGTTTCTTTCTATGTAATATGGTCTGTTCTTGAATTCACTATAGCTCAGACTGGTCTTGAGCTCACTGTGATCGTCCTGCTCCAGTCTTCCCACTGCTTAGTTTACAGGAGTGCACCACCATGCCAGGCTACTCCAGTATTCTTAATGGACTCAGTGAGATCTTCCTGCGTGTTGCTCTTCCAAATGGGGTTACCAGCCTTCTAAGCCAGTTCCAGAGTTAATTCACCATGGAGAAATCACTGTGAGAGAGCGTCAAGAATCCAGGGAAGACCAGGACCCAAAGGAAGACAGGGAGGCCCTTCTCTGATGAAAAGTGAGAAATTAAGAATAAGGTCGTTGGCATCATGGACAATATGACTGCTGACTAAACAAGCTTTCTGGTGTTCAGGGAGGGAAAACTAAGGACTTCAAACTGTAAGCTCCCTGTGCCCTGCAGTTCTGTCCTCAAAAGATGCAACTCCATCTTTCAACACATTCATATTGCTAGAAGGAAAACTTTACCCAGAGTCATGCGTCACTCTTAATACTTTATTTGACGTGAGCAGTGTGTAGAGTATTAGTAAAGTACACTGCTGGTCAATTCTGGTCAAATCATGGAGGTGTGACATTAGGGACCTTATCTTCTTCCTCCTCCTTCCTCTCTGTCACCTGTTTTGCTCAATGCTTCCTGGTTCTTATGTAGCACTTAACCTTTCTTTCTTCGTTTGCTTCCTTTTTGATATTTCTCTGCTAGGGTCAAATAACAACTGAGTTTAGTCTCTGAAAACATGAGACTTTTATTTTTATTTTTTAAGTCCTGTATGTCAGATATTTAGTGCCTACAACAAAAGAATTAGTAAAATTTACAGAAGGTGTCTGAACAAAATAAACTGCCAAATGAATCAATTTTTTCTTCAGAAGGCTATATAAATGTGTTGACTCCATGAGTGTTCATCATAGATTTTCTTCATATGAACGTTTCAGTGTGACTCCAGCAAATCTTTACATATGAAAACCACTTCCCATGGTATCCAGTAAGCAGCTCTGAAAGGACAAAGCTCCCCATACATTTTACACATGTCACCTACTTTCTACTGCTCTGCAGCTTGTCGCTGTCACCACTCTTTCTAGTCATGTTCTGAATTGATGAAGACAACATGCCAATGAGATCTGCAGCCCAGGAGGGCCCAAGAGGATGGCCATGACCCTTAGTCTTTAGGGTCAATGTACATCACAGCTTCAAGTCACTGGGCTTAAGGCTATGCTCCCCAGTACAGATTTTCATCTGCTTTATGGAAATATTGATGAGTTATGACATAAATATACTTGAATTAAGTCTTTGTATTTAGGCAGAAGTACCCTTTTTCTGTGCTTATTAAAGAAGAAAAAATTTGTATGGCAAACGTATAGAAAACAGCTAATTGAATGTGAATTGTCCACTTCATCCTGTGTATTGTTGGTTCCTTCACCATTCCATTTGGAATGTGTCACAAGATACTCTGTGCCTACAGAGTTACATATTGTTTAACTTTTTAGAACAAATTCTTGATCCTCTCACAGCACTAGGGCCCCATCTATGTATTTTTCTAGTTAAGTCTTAAGCATTTATTAGTAACTCTCCCTTTAAAATGGTGAAGATTTAATCTTTTGGAGGATAGATCACATCCCTGTTTGTTGTTGATTTGAAACTGTGTTATGTTGAATATGGTGATATTGTGGGTAAGCTCTAGGGACAAATTTACTATGGCTATTCTGGAGAGCCTGTCATACCACAGGAGCTATGAAAACACTCAGAATATTACATCAATTAGACTCTTAATTTAGGAACTAGGATACTAGAAATTCAAAGACCTTTGAAAGGTCTTTTATGAAACATCTGTGCTTTGTATCATAAGATTATTATTGGCTGGAGAACTGTTATTAGTTTCTATTTATTTACTTATTTATTTTTGAGATAGGGTCTCACTATGTAGTTCAAGATGGCCTCAAACTCATTATGTAGCTGGAGTTGGCATCACACTCAGTATACACCAGGAAATGGACCCATCGGTCCCCTACTTCAACATTTAGGAGCCCTAGCCCCCTCATTCTGAATCTTCTTTTCCCCCAGGTGTGGGGAGGGGTAGTACCTTGGCAGAGGGCCTATGGGGGCATTCATTTTTCCAGTGCACTTCCTCCTTGCAATAGGCACCCTGATTTCTGCCCAGTGGCAGGTGACCTCCTGGCTTTCTAGGCACCTACCCTTTGGGCTGCCCAGGGTTGGCTCCCATGGGGTCCCCTCTGATGGGTGCTTCCAAGATCTTTGCTTGTTTCTTTGTCAACTGCTCAGCCATGGCTATGACCAATTTTTGTTTTTCTGAACCCCTACTGTCAAACACCTTTTGTGGTACTTCTAACAGCTGAGATGTGTTCATTCCTGGGAATCCCTGCAATTTTTGAAATTTTCTCCTAATATCAGGTGCAGACTGAGCAACACATGCCAAATTTATAGCTCTATTGTTCTCTGGAGCAGAGGGGTTGAATGGAGTGCAAACCTGGAAGACCTCTCTGAGTTTCTCCAGGAATGCAATAGGGGAGTCTGCTGGTCCCAGCATTACTTCAGTGGCTTTTGACAGATTTGTGGGTTCTGGAGCTTCTGCTGGAATCCCGTTCAACAAGTTCTTGTGGCTGAAAAATCTGGATCTCATTCAGGCTGAACCAAGGGAAACTCTTCCTTCAGCAATTTGTGGGCCTCCTCCTCTGAATGCTCCCCCCAGTAAAACCTTCCTAGCCTCATACCTAATCTGTCCTACTCCTCACTGGTGAACAGGGTCAATAACAACTGCTGATAGTCATCCCAGGTCAGAAGATGAGTCCTAAAGATTAATTAGAAGCTGGACCTTCTCATACAATGGTGGATTCCGAGTTTCCCAGTTTAGAGGTCAGAAGTGGGAAAGGGAACATATATTAGGAATGGGCAGGTTACCAGTCCTACCCCATCAGGAGGAAGGTCCTCCATCAAAGGCAATAGAATCTCTGGACTGCATCTTCTCTAGGTAGTGACCTCCTGTTAAGATAAGAGATGTTCTCATATGGAAGTAGAGGTAAAAACAAGGGGATCAGGGGTAGACAGGTCAGGACAGATAGGAGAAGGGGGTGAACCAAGGTTATATGGAGATGGACAGGGGAGGACTTCCTAGGCATCTAGGAAGTCTGCTGCAGAACCGGTTTCTGTCTCTCCAGAGTTCACCTACGAGGGGGAGAACAGCTTTTGGAAACAAGTAGCTTTGAATAGGCCTTTGCAACACAGGCCTTTAGCCATAGAGGTGAGTGCTGCACTACAGTAAACCAGGAGTCGATGTAAGGAAACTGATCAGGGTGTCCTGGTGACCCGGTAACAACCTCCCAAACTGCTTGAACCAAGGCAAGATCAAGGGATCCCTCAGAGGGCCAGCCCACACCAAAAGAAGGTCACTCAAGCTCACAAAAAGTGCTAAGTTTGTCCTTTGACACTCACTCCATAATCATCAAAAATCCTGAGGAAAATTTTCTAAGCAGGCAGACCAGGGGTTTAACAGGTCATAAAGATGATGATTCCATGGCAGAGAGACTTAGGGCAGGCAGGAGATACCCAAGAATAGGAGCTGCAAGAGCAAATAAAAAGAAACAAAGACAAAGAAGCGTGAGAAAGGATATCAAAAGGGGCCTGATCACCAGTTAGAGGAGCCAAACAGTACACCAATTGGAGTTAAAGGGAGGTACCGGGACCCCTGTATTGATATGAAAGGCTCAGTAGCCACTGATGTTTCCACTAGTAAAGAAGCTCCAAAATGCTTTCTCCTGTAAGGGTTGTAGGATGGCCTTAAATGCAAGGTCAACAAGGGTCCAGTTTTCAAAGGGAGGGAAAGAGATGCCCTTAGGACAACAAAGCTACCAATGCTAAGTGGATATCCTCAAAACTCATTTTAAGGAGTCAGAAACCCGAGGGAAAGGACTGACAGATGTAATAGATGGGGGGGGTCAATAAACAGCAGATGTATAAGAACTGACTGAATTAAATATTCACATGTGCTTGGCCAAAGGTAGGACACAGGAAAGACAGAAAGGTGATAGAAGAGATGGGCCAGAAGACAAGATTCAAAGTTGGGCCAATCTCACAACTGAAAAGCACCTCCATTATGCCAATTAGTAGGCCTTGGGTCAAGGGAAGAATGCTGAGGACATTGGCCCAGAAGATAATTTGGCCCTGTCAGAGCCAGTGAGATGAGATCTGTCCAAAAATATGACATATGAGGCACAGAAGGGACAGTGTTGGGGAGAATAAGACAGGCAAGAAGCAGTCAGGGGAGTCCCAGTGGCAGGAGGTCAGCCGCAATCGGAGAAGACAGGCCCAAGAGTTTGGGGACAACAGGGGCATCTGGACATAAAGAGGCCTTAGTGTTTACTGTTGCACCCTTGAACAATGTTGTGAAAGACAAAGGGAGGTGATGTTCCTCTGTGGGAGGAATCACTCAGTCAGTTGAATGGCCATGGGCCTCTCAGCCACTTTAAGGACCATGAAGACTTTAGTGGGTGTTTATCTTGTTGCAGGAGCTTGGTCTTTCTTAGATGCATTCATGGAACCAGAGTATGACCTCATTCAGATCCTGTAACTCTGAGGGGGGAGTCCCCCTGTTGTGGGATAGAGATGAAACAATGTATTATTTACACTACCCCTTACCCATCATTCATTCATTCATTCATACAGAAATCATTCAGAGGTTAAAGACAATTCAAACTCATTCCCAGGGATTTACCAGATTGGCTGACTTGCAGCCAGACCAGACCAGATCAGGCCAGAGGGCCAAATCAGTCAGCGTCCTGACCTTAGGAGGGGCCTAGAGAACACCTTCAATCACTACTGTTCCCCACCACAACCAGAAGGATCCTTACCTGCAGACCAGATGGGCTTCAGAAAATTTGGGGGGTGTCTCAGGTTTCTCTGCAGTCCCCTCAGTGTCAGCAGTGAGACTGTGGGGCCCTGGAATGCCTCAGGGGATGCCTCCCTTATAGTTTGCTATTGCAGATGAGAGGGATCACAGCGAGGTCAGTTCACCTACAGTGGCCATCTTGATGAGGCCTCCAGCTGTTGTGGATGAGCAAGTTAGAAAATCAGAGATGCGCCACACTCAGTGCCACATTTGAGTTTGTTTATTATAGCCAGCAGCTGAGGCGGGACTAGTGCCCAGAAAGTTCTCTCAGAAATGGGAAGCAGTTAGATTTCTCCTTTTAAATCA